TAACAAGTGCTACAGGAAATTCATGAATGCGTAGAACACTTGGTTATCTTTTCATTTGAAACTATATTTAGCTAGCAAGGCGAATTAGCATCACATGCTGTGTTTATGTTCATGCCTTAATTGTCCTCATGCGTCGTCCACAGCTAGCCAAGCAGTAATCGAGTGATAAGCATGGGGGCGCGGTTTGAGGTCAAACAATTAGAATTGTTGACGAAAACCATTTAATCGACAAATGAATAAAATTTCAGAAAGGTTGCCATGAACCTTGTCTAACATAGCCGCCAGCTTTGTTCAAAGTGGAACAACACGTTCACATGGCAATTATCATCGCTTTGCATCCTGTTTAACTCCAAAAAGACCAGGCTAACTACTTCCTTGTTTCCAGCAGCCACGCTATGCTAAGCTATTAGCCGTGTCGGGCCTGTAATTTATATGTCCTGTTCATTCAAATTCGTTGGTGACTCCAAATGTCTTATTACAGTCTTGTTGACAGTCTTCCACAGCCTGCGGGTTTACTGAGCAAATAACAGTATTTTATCCACTCGAATGCTTCAAATCAGTCACAGCGAGGACATGGTCCTGTCTTGCCTGTGAGTCACCACAACAAGTGAACACACTTGGAAGCACGATTGGCCTGCAGGGCAGCATGCTCACACCTGTTTTCCTCAACCTGTTTGTAAAAATGGTGCTGTTTGCATTCCGTGCGCCCAAGTGCTTATTTGGTTGACTTCTCCGGGCTTGGCCGAGAGTCGTGGGAGGATTCGCAGGCGATGTTGTAAACACGGGCTGCTTCAAGGCCTCTGACACCCATGCGTCACCTCCCCGCTGCTATAATTCCTTTTACAACAAACGCCATAAAGCTCTCCGGTGGCCAAATATTTACAGTTGCCCGAGTTTCCTTCCTTCGAGGGCTGTTTTCTGTCCGAGTAGCAACAGGTCTGCGGAGCGACTCCAGACATCTTATCGGGGAGTTGAGGGTGAAGGACCCAGTGATCTGGACAGGGAGGAGGGGCCCCTGATGAGTGTTTAAACCCTTTTTGACATCTCCTGGCTAGCGTGCTCTGTTAGTGGACGCAATTGACCGGGCAAACAAACAAAGTGCGGGATGACCTCTGTTGATCGGACAAATAAACGTCTGCGTGTCAATATTACCAATGACTTTGTGAATGGAAGACAAATATACCGAGCACAGCAAAATGGACGAGTCTCGCAGGGCATTATCATGCTGGTATGAAGAGTAAAAAGCTGTTCTGAAAAATGGCATCGATGTGGTTCTTTGTTTGTGACAACTGCATTTGAGAGACAAAAATAGAAGTTTCTACGGAAACAAAAACAGCCATCTGTGAAAATGGAGGTCAACATTTCCCTTTTTTTTTTTGCTTGTATACAGCTAGCTCGGTCTCTGGAGAGCCTGCACACCTATCAAGTGTGAAATTAAACAACCAAGTTAATCTTTCGTATCAGCATTTCTGAAAATGTGTCTTTTTCCGAGCTGCTTGCTTCGTTTTAATGTAGTAACTTGCATCGCAACCACCTCCACAACAACAGTTGGGCAGATTAAAATGAGCAAACAGCGTCTTTTGAGCACGTGCCATTCATTTGCAGTCTGGACGGGAGGGCTGAACGTGTCCTGCTCGAGTGGGCGTCTCAGAGTATCCAGACGTTTCTCAGACCACCACAAAGTACGTTTCTCCTCGCTATCCTTCAAAAATAGTTGCGAGAGGGGTCAGGAAAGTCGCAAAGATGACAACACTGAGTAGGCTTGCTTGTTTGCTTTGCCTAGATCAGTTACTAGTCACCGAAGTGCTTGGCATTTGCATTAAAGTGGATGTTAAGTTTACATGACTTTGTGTTCACATATGGATTTTAAAATATGACATCACCACTTATTGGCTTGGCATGAATGTCACAGCGCTTCGTGTTTTATCAGGTCCACGTGACATGTTATCGTTATGCCAATGCCGTAGTCTATACATGGAATGTTGTCAACACAATGGTAGGAGAACTTTCTGTAGACACAGGTGACCGAACGGTGAATTTCATCAAGAGATGTTTTCCTGTAACGGATCCTTTTTTGCGATGCCCCTTGAATCAATTGTCTTGAAACGAGCAGCAGAGGGCCTGATGAGTCCCTCCACATCCCAGTGCTGTGATTCGAGACGTTGACCCTCTTTTAATATGCGAAATTCCCATTTTCTCTGATTCATGAGTAAGAGCCCTCAGGGGGAGCGCGGCCAGTGGCAGTCTGCCAAAAAAAGAAGGGAAAAAAAAAAGCCCCTCCTTGTAGCAAAGCTCCATAAGTCGTGGTTGCACACCATTAATAGTCATCGCTTGTCTCACGCTAACTTTGCTATTGTTATTGGCAGCTTGCAACGGGGAGAGCGCCTTACACAAGAAGCACCGTGACTGGGCAGGGAATTCTTAACTTTGAACATGAGCAGATTATACATAAAAGTATTGTGAAATGTTCGAAATGTGCACATGCAAAAGACTATAATACTGCATTGCATTTTGCATTAGCCAACTTAAGTGGCAAGTAGTTATTAAATGGTCAATCTATCTACGGGAATGCAGCGCTGTAACGTGCCAATGAATCTACATTCACATCAGTTAGAGTCCAGACTTGCCACGTGTTACTTTGTAAAACGATGTGATCTTGTCCTGATTGCTTTTACGGGCTGTGTTAGATGAGCTTGAACCTGACCTTTTTCCCCTTCATACAGAAGTCATCCGCACTTACAGCATGAGCACGTCCTCCAAATACGACTCCGTCATCAACGTGATATTTGACACAATTTCAGACCCGCCATTTGATGGCGGGCAGGCTAGCGGCTTCATTTGGGGTCTCGTCGAGAGTATCATTTTCATCTGTGGGTTAAAGGGTGTGGGGGGCGGCCAAGCACACAAGACCTACTGTTGGAGAGCGGCCACGTGATGACAGACCCACCAAGAATGTTGCCCCGACCGCCAAATGTAATAGAGCACCACGGTTCTCTTATTAAGGGGTGAAATAATTTCCACCAAAGTGGTTGGCGGCGCTGACAGCGCAGATGAATGCTGTCTGTACACGAGCCAGCATAACAACTGCTCCTGCATGCATACTGAAGGCTGAGGGAGGCCTGCCAGCTCGGCATTCATGCATATTTGCCTCGGTGAACATCTGCCAGTGCAAATAATTGATGCTGTTCTCTCCGATAATGGCCACTGGATCCCCTCTGATAAGTTTTCGACAACTTCTACACGTACAGTAAGCCTCATTCCCCTCCATCTTGACCACAGGTCACACTTGACGGCGAGGAGGAAATTCCCAGGCGGGAAAAAATATGTAAAAAAGAGTCAACTGCTTCCTGTCCCTGCTCGGCTTCTGGGTTAAGCATGCTGTCAAGGCTGCGTATGCACAACATCCTCCTCAGTCACGGGTCCTGACGGAGTGTTGCCGTGGGTGGGATCGCCACGGCGGCCCTCGACGCTCCACGCACAGCGGTGAATATCCAATGAGCACACTTGGAGGAGGATCAAAACATTTGAGCTCAATGATGCTACAGCGAGTCCAACAGCGCTGGTGTGATGTTCCAACACAACGCTATCAGGTGATTAAACATCCGAGGGGAGTCTCAAACGTCGCCACGAGCAGATGCTGGATTAATGATTAATTGACTCTGTGCCATTTCTGTTTCATCTAGACCGACCCACCAATGAGGGAGAATTTAATTCACTTATGACATCCAACTGACACTATGTGAACTAAATAAAATTATTAGGACATGCCGCCTCATCAATTAACTAGTCAATAAGGGGTGGATGAGCTATCCTTAGGACATACTTAGTCATATTACATCATCAACCATTGTGTGCTTTAAGCGAGATGGCCACCTATCAACTTTTAACACCAGAAGTGATTTTTGGCAGCACGCCGCACTTGCGGTAAGCATGTCCGGCTCACAATTCTGAGATTGGGGGTTCGAATTTGGGCTTCGGTGTACTGTTTTGTTTTTTTCCGGCTACTCTGGATTCCTCCTGCAAACATTGAAAACTCTAAATTCTCCTGAAAGTGAATGCCCATGATTGTTTGTACCGCTGCCCCCACCATTGGTTGGCGACCAGTGTATACCTACTGTCGCCCAAAATTGGATCCCAGCTCACCCGTCACACCAAAAGGACAAGTCTCGTCACCGAAACTACATATCTGTTGTAGGACTGAGACTAATCTCGAAGTAGCAGCAAGCGTCAGGATTATTCAACATTTACGATTGTTGGCCCTGATGGTGTTCATGAGCAGATCATGGAGGGAGGCAGGGAGGGAATCACTCTTGACCACCACATGTTAATTGCTCCAGATAATCTTTCGAGACATCCCGCAATTGAAAAGGGAGGAAATGCTTAAATTCGGCCTGATTAACAATATTTGTCCGTCCTACTTCAGTCGATTTGTTAAAGGCCACTTTCCCCTCCCAGGAAGGTCCATTAAGAGATGCGTGAATTATTCTAGGGGGGGGGGGGGGGGGAGGTGCACCACACTTTGGGTGAACTGGAACACAGAATGTGAGTCAGTCACAAAAGTTACTCTATTCTATGGGGGGAAAAAAAACAACCCTCTATTTTTTTTTTCCATTTCCACTTCCTGAAGTGGTAACAGGAAGATGTCCCAATGCGGCAGTACCAGTATTGTGACTTGCCTCTTAAATCATAATAAAACCCAGACCGCTCTGCTCCCAGAGACATACCATCCTCCATTACATAAGTCTGCGTTTGAAAAACAACACATAAAATGTTAGTACACACCTGAGGAGTGATTATAGTGTGTAAAACCCTTGAAGGGAGAGTAAAACATCAAATGAACACATGCACAGGGGAAACGGGAGTGATGAAAGGGTGGAAACCCCCACACGCACATCAAGTCTGCCAACATTTTTTTTAATACTTTACGCGTGTGTGTGTGTGTGTGTGTGTGTGTGTGTGTCAGTCGAGGCAAAGAGCTGTCGAGAAGTTCTCCTCATTACCTTTCCGCCGTTGCGCAGACTGGCAGGAGGTCAGCGTGCTGTACCCCCGACGCGAGCTGCTGTCAACAAGCAAGGAGAATAGTTACAAGATCGAGGGCAGCGCCGTGGCTCGGCGAGGTCACGCTGAATCACTCAAGCCGGAGCTGACCGAGGACACGGCTGGACAACATGTCACGACTCAGAACTCCTAATGGCTTAATCAGCCACCAATCTAACGTACACGCCACTGCACGCGTGCATGTTGGCAGTCGTACGGGCGGGGATCACGTCGCTGTTTTCACGACTATTTATGGACCTTGACTTCACATTTCTAGGTTGGAATCCACAGTGTAACGTGAACCTGAAAAGCACATTTTCTGGTCTATGAGAAACAAACTCTTCACAGTGGAAGAGTTGTCCTGTTGATCTAACAATAACTGCGCTATTATCGGGTGACCTGGTGAAGTGGTTTTAGCTCATATCCTTGAAATTTTGAACAGTTTTAACATTTACGAATCATGCAGCTGGGAGAGGGAGAAAAAAAATCATCTTAACACACCCAATACCACAGGATCATCAGTCAGGAGGATAATCGTTTTGACACATCCGAGTGCAGGGCCTTTGCTGACTTTGACGGAAAGTATGGGGAAATTGTGATCGTTTTCCAGCTGTGAATGTGACTATGAAGGGTTGTTTTTCTATATACGTCGTGTGATTGGCCAACAACCAGAGTCAGATGAGGTAGGCTCCATCCCAACATGTGACCCTAAGTAAGCTAAGCACTACCAAAAAAAAAAAAAAGCACGTTCTATTATTTTACACATCAAAGTGATCATGTGTAGAGAGAAATTGCTCTTAGAAACCTCGTTTTATGGGGTTAAACCAGGCAACTCAATAAACTACCAACTTGGTTCACAGTGTACTTTGTAGCCAATACTGCCCTCTGCAGGTCAAAAGGGGAACCAAACTTCACTGGATACCCAACGACGAGTGTCTCCGACGGAGCTTAAGTCATACTCAACTGAGAGGTCTTTCCTTATTTTCTCCAGCTCATGTAGTCAAATAAAGCCGCAATGCAATTGCATATCATTGCAAACTCCAACCATAATAACAGTGTTTCCTGGCTTACCACAGTTGCAGTTTTTGTAGTCAAGCCTAAGCCATGTCTGATACAAAAGTACTGCTTTGTACCAATGAACTATATTGATGAGAGTTGAGGAGTTTCGTGTAGTGCTTTTGCATCGATCTTGTAGTATTCTCGTGCCAAGAAACTACTGAAAATTGAAGCCAGTTGAGGGATTTGATGTATGCTTTGCCGCCATCCTGTGGCATCTATAAGCAATTCGAAAACTTTTTCGAGGGGCGTCAATTACTCAGACTTTCGCTTTTTGTAGCTCGGCTCGTTTCGAACAATTGCGCTGTTGAACATAGTCATGGAAAAAAATTATCACACCAACCTTGTTTCTTCAGCTTTTTTGTCGGTACGACAAAAGGTACATTTGTGTGGTCTGGAGAGTGGTTCATGTACGGGTTTCTCTTATGCCTTTTTCTTCGGCGCCTCATTCTGACGTCACCACAAACTAGGCATAACAAACAGAGACCAGAGTACATGACCCACTCTTAAGCATAAAGCCTCTAAACCGGGACGTTACACTAACAATGACAACAACAAATAGCTCAAAAGAGTTTAATTCACGAGCTCATCTATCTTCCCCAAAAATTGAAGAACACGTGGTGGTTTAACACGTTTTTTTTCCATCACTGGAAACTCACCAAAAGTGTTAGTTAAATATGTTCTTATAGTCACAGTAGTAGTCCTTCCAGATTTCCTGATCACAAACACACATTAACAAGTCAGCGTGGCAGTAATATCTGTGTTTTATTCTAGCATGTGCCATGAGAGACAAGCAGCAGACGCAAGCTCACAAAACACGTGACGTCAAAGCTAATTGAGAAAAGGCCTCAACGCCTACCGAAAGCTTTCATGAATTAGCCTCCCAGCGAGCAAGATCCTGGGCTCTGAAAGCGCTTCGATACTGCACCGCTTGCATTGGAAACAGATGGATCAAACAGCCCTTTCCTTTATTTGGACTGAACTGTTATTGGAAGGACTTTCAGCGAGAACTGCCAACGCTGGCCGCCGTTCAGCAAAACAAATAGACACAGATGTAGTTTTCCATTTTACAGGCTGTTTATGTTGTGCAAATTCCTTCCCCCAGAAGAGCGGGATATGTTCTTTCATGTTTTAGTGGCTCCGACTGACCGCAGCCCTTTGTGGAGAGTGTACTTTTCCACTACTAATGACATGCAGTCACACAAAGCTCTGGCAGCCATGCACGGCTAAGACTCGCTGCCCAATATCTAATTAGTCCACCACTAACTCCCAGTCTGGGGAAACATTCAGTACCACATTAAACGCTGGCGGTTTTTCACCTCAAAAAGAGTGCAGAGCAGATGGATTTGCTGTTGAGGAATCATTTGAGGCACAAATCGCCTCCATCAGTCAGTTTAAGTGACAACATTCTGGGGCTGCGGTTGTCACTGATCCCCCGTAGTCGAATTGATGCAGCTTGGAGGGAGCCGAGGATTGGATGACAGTTTTATGTGCTGCAATGACGCTTTGGTGGTTTGTGTGCACGCATGTGGATCTCCACTAAAACATGATGTCGATATTTTGACAACTGCGGAATTCAGTCGTGAAAACGCTTTGTGAAATCCTGACATCTAGTGGCTGCTTCGCATCACAACATCCCCCGGCCCCAAAAAGAAAAAACGCCCAGGAACCACCGCGCAATACTTCCAGAAAAAAGATTTGTGTGTGTGTGTGTGTGTGTGTGTGTGCAATACTTCCAGATAAGCGATTTAGCGCGCGCGCGTGTGTCTGTGTGTGTGTGTTTTTAACAGTACAGTATGCCTAACCATGTGTGAAAAAGTACTTAGCCCAGTGGTTCTTAACCTTATTCAAGGTACTGAACCCAACCAGTTCATATGCACATTCACCGAACCCTTCATGAGTGAAAAATAAAAACATGATTTTTTACAAACGCATTTTTTTAAAAACAGAAAAAAAGTCAACACAATTAGTAGAAGTACAAGGTGTTTAATTGTGCACGAAATGAACCAGCCAGTGATGGCCAAGGGGGCGCGTCATAACTACCGGTAATTGACATGTTGAGTCCAGTGGTCTTAACCTCCATGGCAGAGGCTCTGTCGAACCCCTGAGACTGATTCGCCGAACCTCAAGGGTTCAATCGAACCCAGGTTAAGAACCACTGACTTAGTTAGCCCCTTGTTGTGGCTAATCACATCTTGTAGTTCATTTTCACAGATCAGGCAGCACAAGTGGTCGATTTGTTAGCATGTCGGCCTCACAGTCCAGAGGTGCAGGGTTCGATTCTGGGCCTGTGTGGAGTTTGCATGTTCACCCCGTGCCTGCGCTGGTTTCCTCCGTGTTACACCAGTTTCCTCCCACATTCCAAAAACATGCATCTGGTTTCCTCCGTGTTAGTTTCCTCCCACATTCCAAAAACATGCATGGTAGGTTAATGGAACATTCTAAATTGGCCCTAGGTGCGACTGTGAGTGTGAATGGATGGTTTGTCTGTGTGCCCTGTGATTGGCTGGCAACTGGTTCAGGGTGTCCCCTGCCTACTGCCCAAAGACAGCTGGGATAGGCTAAAAGCATGCCCGCGACTCTCCTGAGGACAAGCAGATCAGATAATGGATGGAATTAAGCATGCCCGCGATCCTCCTGAGGACAAGCAGATCAGATAATGGATGGAATTCAGAGACCACATCCAGGCCTGCTCAATGACGAAATAACCTTAATAGAACCAGTCTGACAAAATGAAGTTGCCCAAATGATCTCGAAAAGCTGCAACCAAATTATCTAAAGAATTTCAAGAAATAAAGTAATTGACATCTGCAGTCTCTACAAGGTTACCAAGTGAATCGTAACACTTTAAGACTCAAGCGAATCACGATGGGAGACATTATCCACAAAGGGAAAAAATATGGAAGATCTGTCTTGGAGCAGCTAAGCGAAGAAAAATTACGACCATGAGAGCAAAGTGCCAACTGATACAAGAGGTCACAAAGCAACCCAGGACATCATCTAAAGAATTGCTGGCCTCCCTCGCCTCAGTTAAAGTCAGTGTTCAGGACTCAACAATGACGAAGAGACCTGGCCAAAACGATATTCATTGCGGAGTTGCAAGACGAAAACCACTGCTGACCAAAAAGAACGTCAAGGCTCATCTTACTTTTGCAAAACACATTTAAATGATTCCCAACACTTTTGGGAGAAAATTCTATGGACTGACAAAAAGAAAGGTGGACTGTTTAGGAAGCTATGCATCCTGTTCCATCTGGCGTAAATGTAATTCAGCTTTTCTGGAAAACGACCTCATGCAAACAGTTAAACATACTCTGGGGCTGCTTTGGCACTTCAGGACCTTAATGACTTGCTGTGATTGATGGAACCATAAACTCTGTTCTTTCCTAGAAAATCCTGTGGGAGAATGTTTGGCCATCAGTTTGTGAAATGAAGCTGAAGCGCATTTGGGTTTGCATCACAACAAAACAACAACCGAAAACACATCAGCAAGTCAACTTTTCAATGGCTTTAAAAAAACCTTTTGGAGTGGTATAATCGAAGTTCAGAGTTGATTCTGATTGAAATGCTGTTTGTTGTTATATATTTTTATGCAATTCAGGTTGCTGCTATTATATCTTGTTCTTCTACTTCTTCCTTTCATAACTTTGCTGCTGTGAATTGGGAATTTCTCCATTGCGAGACTAATAAAGGTTTTCTTATTTTTAGCTGTGTGTGTTTCAATGCACTACATGTTTGCACTGTGGTTGAGAGAGGGAAGTAATTTCATCTGTGCTGTATCTTGCACACAGAGCATATTTGACAATAAAACTGACTTGACTTGAATAACCATGGTCGACCGCTAATTATCGACCGCTGATCAATCAGAGCATCCCTAAGATGCATGTGCCAAATGTGAAGAGTACAAGAGGAGCAAGTACTTGAAATAACAACCGTCTATGATAGCGGTACTGATTTAAAGATATCAATTTGGAAAATAAAGAGAATCACTGTCTCTTTCAAGCCAGTCTTGGTGAGCTACATCTGGCATACAAAGAAAAAAATGGTTACATGTGGTTTTTGTTAAGTTCGATGGGGGAAATGGTATTAAGTAACCCCATCCCTCCAACGGTGCTTTTGGCCCTTTTTGGCCCTAACAAGTACAAGTTGGCCAGCACCGACGAAACCACAAATCAGTCTAAAAACAAACATTTACCATCTTTGTTTTGTTTTTTTGTCAAATACATCACTGCAATTGAGGGAAAGGCTGGTGTCTGCAAAACATCCGAGAGCTTGATATTTCTCTCTGCGGCATCACATGCTTCTCATCACATCTGCTGACAACAACAGCACACTGTGACACGGTCAACGCAAACCATCAGAGATCAATTCATGTTCTGAGAGGATTATCGCATTGAGGCTATTTTTCAAGTTGGAGAAATCATCACTTGATTGCTGGATCCGGAGCTGTTCGTGCAGTTTACCCATTGACGGGCCAAAAACAAACAAACTCATTTGAAATGTGATTCGTACTGACATTTTGCTTTGCCGGAGAACTTCCACATTATACCGCAGTGCGAAATACATTCCGGTTTATCTCATTCTCATTCAAGTGTTACAGCCAACAAACAAGCTTGGATTCTGAGAAAATCTTTCATGGAAGTCCCAGAGAGCAAAGCGAAGACACATGATGAAATGAAGCACTTTTATTAGAAAACAATGACTGTATGTGAGCAAAAACAAAGAACCAAAAGGTGAAATGTTGAAGTTCCTTGTCAAAAGACGGGTCGTAGAAACTAATGGGTGGTATTAAAAAAACATACCAATACAAGGAGAGCGTACTTAGCAGCTTTCCGAATGAAAGAAACTTGACGAGTTGGTCCGAGACTTCCTTGATGATCCACTCATCCTGATCCACGATAAGCTCTCCTAATCACAAAGTTCAAACGGCCTTACGGTGGTACTCCGGCGGGGCCACCTCGTAGTCGCTGGCGCTGAAGAGCGTCGCAGAGTTCTTGACGAGGTACCTGCAACGAAGAGACAAGCGTCACGTGTCTGCAGTGTTTTCCAGGCCAGAGCTGATGTGATGAGCCACATTTAAAAAACTCACTTGAGGAAGTCTTGCAGGTAGGTGAGCAGCAGTGCCAGGCTCTTCTCATCCAGGGGAGTGTAAGCCAGCATGGCTCCGATTCGCACTTGCAAGACCAAAAGGGGAAGATATTACCAAGAAGCGCCTCACATATCAGATTGAACAGCATCAAAAATACTGATGCAAATTTTCCTGCACATTCCAAAAGGTGCTCTCTTGAAATCTGTTGACCGTGTAGGATTGTCATGGTCATGGAACAGATTAGACATGGTCACAACCTCGGTAACCACCTCACCGCGACCATCACCGCAGCTCAAGTGTTGATACGAAGCAGGATGGACGGATGGATTCTAAGTCAGTTCCTACTGGTCA